CTGACTTCTAATGGCTTCGTGAACAAGTCCCTGTGGTTATCTTTGCAAGATTTAGAAGTAGTTTGTCATTGCTTGCTTGCTAGGGCTAGGAGGGAGTGACTGACACAAGGTCTTCCAGAAGGTTCCATACCTAAATTGGGACTATAATTCACAGCTCCCAGTTTATACCTGATGTGTTAACTACTATAGGGAATCCCCTACTTTCAAACACAATTGAGTCCAAAATTTCCATTGCTAAGCAAGGCAGTTGTTAAATAAGTTTTGCCCTATTTTACAGCCTTTATGCCACAGTTATTAAGTGAATCACTGCAGCTATTAAACAAATCATGTGGTCATAAAATAAATCTGGCATCCCCCATTGACTTTGCTTGTTGGAAACCAGCTGGAAAGGTTGCAAATGGTGAACACATGGCCTTGGGATAGTACAATTATCATAAATGCCAGTTGCTATATGCTCAAATTTAGATCAGATGACCAGAAGGATACTGCAAGGGTCATAAATGTGAAAACTGGTCATAATTCACTTATTCAGTACTGCTGTAATTTTGAACAGTCACTAAATGAATGATTGTAAGTCAATGACTACCTGTACTCCAAATCATGTCTCACTTTTCATATAGTTGAGTCATATTCATATGAAAGATTAATTTCTCATTTTCCGTTAATGCATTAAATAACTATCTAATGTCAAATCTAATGCAATGTGGGGTCTCAGTTCCAAATTGTGTTTTTACTGCTTAGCTTGATAAATTAAATAAAACTATGGGTGTGCTGTCTTATATGTTACAGTATGTGAATCCAGTTATGGTTTGTCATTATGTTTTAACCTACCAATGATAGCTTTTTGAACAAAGCATGCGTAATAAAGTCTTGTCTTAGAAGTAGACAATTAGAAGTAGACAATCATGTCATGATTTCCCTTCTTTCTGTCTTCTTTTTGTCTTTCTTATTATAGGCATACATGATTCATTTTATTTTGCCTAATGAAGAATTCTGAAGCATTCAGAGGCCTGAACATTCCTTTTCTCGAATTATATCTCTTTTGTTTGATTATAATTAAATATTTGCTGTACTACTGATATTGGCGTTTTTTTTAACTAATCTAACACTGATATCATTGGATTTTTTATACAACCCAACTCAGAATTATATTTCCATATTAAGAGGTCTGAATACATACCAATAAGACAAAAGGAGCTTAGTACATACCAATAAGACAATATACCTTAATTTGATTCAAAATATTTATTTTTAGCTGATTATAAAGAATGTTGTGTTCTTTAACTGTACAACTCCTTTTGGGACACTATAAACACAAAATACATTGTAAGTAAGAGGCTATGATGATTAACACAGGCTACATCTCCATTTGCCTAACCACAATACAAACTTGTCCTGCCCTACCAATCTTTTCTTCTCCTTCTATGTCTCTATGACATTTTCTCGAAGAATAAAACTGACTCAGGGAGTCTTTAGTTGTACATGTTAAAACAGTGTTTCCTTCCTTATTCCAATAACGCTCAAATGCAGACTAACAGTATGTAAATGTTGCTCGATTTTATCAGTTTTTATTTTGGAGGGAAGAAAAGAGATTGCAGTGGTTGGGATGAAGACAGATTAGAATCAAGAGTTATTTCATCAATTTTCTCCTGACTCAAGAAGGACTCAAAGGTGCTTTTTAAAAAAGGCAACTGAACTTTGTTTTTCCTTGAAGACGTTTTGCTTCTCATCCAAGAAGCTTCTTCAGTTCTGAAGCTTCTTGGATGAGAAGCAAAACATCTTTAAGGAAAAACAAAATTCAGTTGCCTTTTGAAAAAAGCACCTTTGGGACAACCATCACTGGATGACTGAGAATCTCCATAGAGATTCAAGAAGGAGTGAAAAGTACTTATTGGGGGAAAGGCCCGAAAAATGGTATGAATTATCTTAGATCTTCTATCTCTCATTTTTCCTCTTCAAAGTAAATACAATGACATTAATATGATCTACCTTAGGTCAGATAGAATATTTCTTGCATTTTCCAATCCACAGATTGAAGATCAGTTGTGTTGCTAGTGGAGAATTATACTCTGGTGTAACTTTCTGTGAGAATCAGTGATACAGCTACTGGAATGCTGATTTAAAACAGATGCTGATTGATGCCAATGGGGCAGATGCATCATAATTACTATGGACCTTCACAAAAATGTGTGTATCAATTCACACACAAATGTAGATGAAACAGAGTCCTTATACAGTATATTTCAAGTGCTCCCCTCTCCCAGAAAAAGTTTGCCGAATAAAACAGAGCCTAGAGTGTGCATCAACGTCCTCTGTCTTCTGGTAACCAGCTGACTGGATATTCTGGTTTAAGTTGACTCACCTTAATGGCACAAGCACTGCCATTCAAGAAATGGGGTGACACTGCAACAGTGTTGGATGTCAGCATCAAGAAAATCCCCAGTTCATAACTAAGGCAGTTGAAAGCCTATTTAGCTGTGCTAATTTTATAGTAGTATTTCCTCTTCAATACAATTTGTATCATGGGCATGGTCCAGCATGTTTCATCAATGATGAACACTACAGTATTTGCTGATGCAGCAGGATTGGGAGCTATTGGCAACTTTAGGCTGCTGTATACTTGCCCTCTGTCTGGCCATTGTGGTTTAGGTTGCATGAAAGACCAAACATCTGGTTTTCACAATAATTTGCTTGCATAATATCTGACTGAGTCTTTCCAAAGCACTTGTCAAGCCTTACATAGGTTCCACAGGAGTCTGCAGTTCTTTTTTATTTTAACCAGGTTGGGTGTTACTTCTGCCATCAGTGAGCGCATCACAAGTTTTTCACTGCTTCTGGCAATCTGAGTTTCTCTGAAGCAATACTTTAAACTAGTTTTATTATTTTGATGATGTTGCAAAATTTGCCTATCCCTATTCTATTTTGTCAAATCCTAGGATATTTTCATATATTTCTTGCTGTGTTTGTTTGCTGTCAACATTGCCATTGCCAGCATAAATTGATGATGTACAATCAATAATACTGATAATAGCCATCATTTCACCCCACATCCTTCTTTTGCACCTTTTAGTCTGATAGACCAATCAGAGACATAGAAGGATATAGGGAGAAAGAGAAGTTGCAGAAGGTCCTATGCTCTTCACAACTCTTCCTTCGTTCCTTTGATATGTCAGTGTTCAGAAGTAGCCCATCTGAGAGGTTCCTGGAATCCATTAGTTGGGCAACTTAACAGATAGTTACACCTGCAATTAAAGGCACATGCCTACACTTGTCCCACCTCACATTAAGGAAATGTTTGTGTCGTGTGTATGTTTATTTTATTTTTTATTTTTTTATTTTATTTCCAATTTATATACCGCCCTTCTCCCTGAGGACTCAGGGCAGTGTACAGCCAGAATAAGAACATAAAATACAAATATTAAAAACAGTTAAAAATATATATAAATTTGGCCCAGAAGTTAAGAAATCACAAAACGATTAAAACAATTTAAAAAATTTCTTCTCAAGCCAGCCTGGCTTGCTGGAAAAAATGGGTTTTAAGGGCACGACAGAAGGCATTGAGGTCATGGATTCTCCTTATCTCTGGAGGCAACTGATTCCAGAGGGTAGGTGCCCCCACAGAGAAGGCCCTTCCCCTGGGGGTCACCAGCCTACATTGTTTGGCTGATGGCACCCTGAGGAGGCCCTCTCTGTGGGAGCGCATGGGTCGATGGGAGGTCGTCGGTAGCAGCAGGCGGTCTCGCAGATAGCTAGGCCCTATGCCATGGAGCACTTTAAAGGTGATGACCAACACCTTGAAACGCACCCAGAAGACCACCGGGAGCCAGTGCAGCTCGCGCAGGAGTGGTGTTACATGGGAGCGCCATGTTGCTCCCATCACTACCCGCGCTGCTGCATTCTGGACCAGCTGGAGCCTCCGGGTACTCTTCATGGGGAGCCCCATGTAGAGAGTGTTGCAGTAGTCAAGGCGAGAGGTGACGAGGGCGTGAGTGACTGTGCATAAGGAATCCCGATCAAGAAAGGGCTGCAACTGGCGAATCAGGCGAACCTGACAAATGGTCCCCCTGGTTACAGCTGTCAGATGTTCCTCCAAGGACAGCTGCATATCCAAGAGGACTCCCAGATTGTGAGCCCTTTCAGTGGGGGCCAAAGACTCACCCCCAATAGTCAGTGATGGAGTCAACTGACTATATCAGGATGCCGGGAGCCACAGCCACTCTGTCTTGGAAGGGTTGAGCTTGAGCCTGTTCCTCCCCATCCAGATCCGCACAGCCTCCAGGCACTGGGACATCACTTCAAGGGCATCATTGGGGTGGCCTAGGGTGGAGATGTACAGCTGGGTGTCATTAGCGTACTGATGGTATCTCACCCCGAAGCCACGGATGATCTCGCCCAGCGGCTTCACATAAATGTTGAACAGAAGGGGCGAGAGGACCGATCCCTGCGGCACTCCACAGATGAGAGGCCTCGAGGTCGACCTCTGCCCCCCTGCCAACACAAACTGCGACCGGTCGGAGAGAAAGGAGGAGAACCACCACAACACGGTGCCTCCCACCCCCAACTCTTCCAGCCAGTGCAGCATGATACCATGGTCGATGGTATCAAAAGCCGCTGAGAGATCTAACAGGACCAGAACAGAGGAGCAACCCCTGTCCCGAGCCCTCCAGAGATCATCAACCAACACGACCAATGCCGTTTCCGTGCTGTGCCCAGACCTGAAACCCGACTGGAACGGATCTAGATAAGATGTTTCCTCCAGGAATTGTGGAAACTGTCGTGCGACCACACTCTCAACAACCTTTGCCATAAAGCAAAGGTTGGAGACAGGACGGTAGTTGGCCAATATTGCCGGATCCAGGGATGGCTGTTCCTGGCAGCCAGGGATGATTAGTGAGAGAAAAAAGAAAACCAGGGGAAATTAACTTTCTAGATGTTGTTCTGCATTAAGATATAAAGGATAGCATCATTTTTGCCAACCAAAGAAGCAACAATCTCAGAGATTTCAGAAAGGTGCCTTTAATACAAATCACGAGTAAAAACAAAATCTTCAAAACAGGCTGATTTATATCAGTGAATGTGCAGTCTTTCTTCTCATAGCCACCATGACTGCATTGTATTGTCTCGTCTCGCATAAAATGAACACAATGCTGAAATGTATGGTAGTATACTTTTTTGCTGTTACAAGGATTAGTGATTACATTTTAATATATTCATCAGATTTTCTCCTTATGCTGGCCACCAGATGAAAAGTTCGAAGAGTGTGCAGTCGAGAAAGAGAAAAATGAGTTATAGTGTCTGGAAGATACCAGGTTCTCTTTCTAAAGCCTGTAGAAGATTACTGATGTAACTGCCCAAAGTCAATTTAGGATGGAATTTAGCTACTACCAAAAATTATATATAAAAATGACTATTAAAATGTTTGGATATCTAATGAGGAGCCCTGGAAATGCTAGATGGATCCCAACTAAGTACCAAATAGGTCCAACCGGTCTTATTTTTCAGACTGGTCAAGATCAGTCAGATGCTGCCACCTGCTGTAGTCAATATGAATATTATTAAGGAGCAAAATAATGGAAGTGGCCTTACAAAACTCATAGCTTTTGATGGATAATTGATGCTACTTAGGTAGACTAAATAGAGACTGGTTAAAATCATGGAAGTTTGGACTACCCCAAAGTCTTCTGTGGAACATCTAGGTTTCAAAATTTCTGATAGTCAGTCTCTGAAAAGGAGACAATGGGATAATTCTTGCTTTCATGCTGCATGCAGAGAGGTCCCTAGAAAGTCCAAATAACTCCAGCTAAATCAGAAAGGGTTTTGACTTCATCCTTGAATTTTATCTTAAGTAAGATATATTTGGAGATATATATGAAGCAGATATATCTGGAGTTTTCTGGAAGTTTAGGACTTAAGTTCCCATTAATTCTAGTAAGTTAGTAGAATATTGTGGGGAAAGAAACAGCAGTAAAATATTTAATACTTTACCTATGATTACTACCACTAGGAGGAAGAGCCAACAGTCGAATACTCAGTACATCAAAGTATTTGCTATAGCTGTGCATGCATTATGTTTTGGTTGAATAATACAGGCATTCAGGTTGCAGGTTCCTAAGAAGACTGTTACTTCAAATGAGCTAGTATGTTACTCTAAAGTTGCACAAAACTTTTGGATCAGTGGACTGATTTGAAAAATAGCTGCCTTGGTGAGCATGAATTTTAATAAAATACACATTTACTACAGGACAAATTGAAAACGCTTCTCTTTCCTTCCTCTTTCTATCCCCGGGATCTTATTTATTTATTTGTCAAATTTGGAAACCACCCATCTCTCAGAGAAGGATTCTGGGTAGTGCACAAATAAAACATTTAAATAGTATATAAAATTTAAAAAGAGAGAAGGATTATTAAAATTAAATATTAAAACTTAATTAATTCATTAACACCTTTCCGAAAGACTAGAAAAACAGGACCTCATTTTTTGGAGGGTGGGGACGGAGAATGTTCCAGAGGACAGGAGCTACAGCAGAGAAAGTTAGTCTCTGCTAGTCAGAATTCTTTGGCTCACAGGATCCATAATGTATCTTGCCTGCCTGACCAGGTGGGAGGACTGATGTAATGGGACAAAGACATCTGTGTAGGTAACCTGGCCCTATGTAGGGCTTTAAAGGTCATAACCAACACCTTTAACTGGACCCAGAAGCATACTGGATCCCAGTGCAGCTCATGCAGCAAAGGTGTTGCATGCACCATTCTTTGAGTGTCCAAGATTGCTGATGCGGGTGCATTCTGTACCAACTGAAGCTTCCAGAAGCTTTTTCAAGAGTATCCCCATGTAGAGCACATTGCAATAGTCAAAATGGGAGTAACCTGGACATAAATGACCGATAGCCTATTCAATGGCATTATGACACACAATACAAAATTGAGCAAAGGGTACAGCTACCATGACTCCAGGAGGACTTCAGATTACACACTGGCTCCATCTGGGGTAGTGCAGATCCAAGTCCAAAATTGATAAGCTCCCGGATGCAGAGGGACCTGCCCCCATCACTCCATCTTACAGGGTGCAGATGAAGTCGGTTGTTCCCCATCCAGGGCCCCACATTTTCCAGAAGCCACAAAAGAATGACTACAGCATCACTCACTTCACCTGGAATGAAAATGTATAACTTGCTATCATCAACATACTAATGATACCTCATACTATGGCAATTAATGATTTCACCCAGTGGTTTTGAGTAAACGTTAAAAACACTCCACAAAGCAGGGCCAGTGAGCTGGATCTCAACATCAATTGGGACCAGCCTCAGAGGAAGGAGGTAACCAGCACAGAACTGTGCTACTTACTCCCAACTCCCTAAGTCAGCCCAAAAGGATACCATGATGAATGGTATCAAAAACCACCCAGAGGTCAAGAAGAGCAAAGTTGACACACCAGCTCCATCCCACTCCTGCCAGAGGTCATCCACAAGCGCAACAAATGCTATTTTTGTCCCACATGCAGGCCTGAAACCTGATTGAAAAGGATCCAGATGTTTCCTCATGTTGCTCTGGAGTTACAATGCCACCACCTTCTTGATCATCTAAAAAGGCAAGGTGGGAGACTGGCTGAGGAGCATCTGAGTGACTCTAAAAAGCATATCTTATGGATGCCATAAGAATGGAGAAGTATTGGCATTTTGTCACTCATACCTCCGGAAGGTAGGCCTTAAGTTTTAGCTCCTGTTTGGTCAAATTTGTTCCTCCTTGTTCTCCAGCAGTGCTCTAGGCATCTCTTGATGCTTTCCAGCTCCCTCAAATGCTCCAAAAACCATGGGAAGTAATAGGACCAATGGCCCAAGAGAAGGCACCAGGCACAATCCTGTCCAAAGCTTCAGCCATCCTCCTCTTCCAGGCAGCTATCAGAGCCTCCACAAGACTCTGTGACAGCCAGGTGGACACAATGAAGACAATGTTGCATCATCAAGTTGGACAATTAGGGTTGTCAGAGTGATATAGTGCTGCAATAAAATGCAAGTGGGAACAGTCCTTCATTTATGTTTGGCTTTTAATTTTAAAAATCTAAAAATCAGTTAGCCTATGGCAATTTAGCTCAAACACCTTTAAGAAAGTAGCTATGGATATATTGGTGGCTATAGCCATAAGATTAGGAACCCAGGTATTAATCAATATTTCAGGAAAAAGACAGCCCTACAATTAAAGGGAGGAGGAGGAAAAAGAAAAAGCTCAATTACAAATGATAGGAAATATTCAAATTTGGGGTTTTTTTCTCAACAATTTCCAGATAAGTTTCCTGTAATCATAATCATTCAATGCCCCATTCAAAAGAGACAATATCAACTAGGATTAGCTAGATTACCTAAAAATATTTTCCTGCAGTCAAACATGCCTTATACATTTAATTTTAGTCACTTGATATTTCACAAATCTGCAGTGCAAATCACTGAGTTTGTTTTGTTGTTCCGAATAAAATTAAGGTGATTTTCCAAGATAAAACAATAAAATACTATAAAAAATATTTTATATAAAGAATAATAAAAGTTTTTCTGTTGTAGTGTTTACCCTCTGGAATGGCACTGAAAAAAGTGAGTTATGATCCATTTTCACATTTAAAACCATTGCAGCATCTGGTATCATCCCCCCTCAACCCTGAAGTAAGATTGGCCTCAATTCTATTGGCCTTTAAAACTTGATTCTGCCATTGGGCCTGGTGATCCCATGGAGCTCTGGAGCCTGTTAAGCTGTGTGTAAGTTTAGAATATCGTACATTCTTCTGTCTCTGTTAACTATGTTTTTTTTAAATGTTTTAACTTGTGTTGTATTATTTTAATTGTTTAATTGTTGGTCGTTTGGCTTTGTTTTTAATTATGTGTGCATCCCAAGTGTGAGATGGACAGATACATAAATTTAATAAATAATTAATGAATTAAATGAATAAATAAAAAGCCGCTATAAACAAATTGTAAAGAAATTATGCTAGGATACTTCCGATTCTTAAGCTTTTTTAAAAGCCTAACTCCAATCCTATCTAAAAAGGTGGGGTGGTGGAATGAATAACTTCTCAAGTTGTATTGAGGCTAGAAGAATGAATTTGAGAAAACTTCCTCATTCCCCAAAATTCCTTTCAAGTTTCACATTACCTGTATGAATAGGAAATTTATAAGATGAAGACCACAAAGAGTAAATCTCATGAGAGAAAATTGCCATTATAGTCTTGCAAAATAAGGAGGTGTAAACCTGATTCCTTATGCTTTGCTTTCCATTCATTTCCATCATTAGATCTACCTCACTGGAAATTTTTAGATTAGAGGACACTAATTCTGCTATTGTTAACATATCTCAGTGGAAGGCTCAAGGAAAAAAAGAGCTTCACATGCATCAGCATTTAGTACTTGAATGTACGTACTGTGCTAAACCATGCTGTGCTTAATCATGATTTGTTGGATTTGGCACAAATGGTTAGGGCCATATAATGTGTTGGGAGATAAGCCATTATAAGCTACAATGGCTGGATTCATGTCAAATCCCAAGGTACAAGCCACATTTTAGCGTGGCATGTTATACAAATTCAATCAATAATACTATGTATACTGTATAATTGTCCAGACAGTCTCTGACTTGACTCCTACTCATGGCTGAGCATCTGCAAATGAAAGTGCCTGTTGGTAATTTTGACTAAACAACTACCAGTTGCATCCTTTCCTGAAGAAACACGGAGCGCTCACAGTCATTTATGCATATTAACCTTGAAACTGGGTGACTGAAGAGATGGGCACTACTGAAAGAATTCAGATATTAAATACCATAGATACTTTTAGCTTAAAAAGAGAACTCTGAGGAGATGGGATAGCAATATTCCAATACTTGAAGACCTTTCATGGGGAGGAAGACATTGACTTATTCTCCATAGCAGTGGTGGGTTTCAAAAATTTTTACTACCGGTTTTGTGGGTGTGGCTTGGTGGGTGTGGCAGGGAAAGAATACTGTAAAATCTCCATTCCCACCCCACTCCAGGGGAAGGATACTGCAAAATCCCCATTCCCTCCCAATCAGTTGGGACTCGGGAGGCAGAGAATAGATGGGGGAGGGGCCAGTCAGAGGTTGTATTTACGGGTTCTCCGAACTCCTAAAAATTTCTGCTACCGGTTCTTCAGAACTGGTCAGAACCTGCTGAATCCCACTTCTGGTCCATAGCACCTAATAAGACAAGAAGCAATTGGCAGAAGCTTGGCAGAATGAGATCCAACTGGAAATAAGGAGGAATTTCCTTACAGTGAGAACTATTAAGCAGTAGGACAGCTTGCCTCCCAGAGTTGTGGTTATCTGTCCCCAGAGGTTTTAAGAAAAGATTATACAACCATTTGTCTGAGATGGTATAAGGATTCCTGCCTTGAAGGTGGGTTTGGAGTAGAACACCTCCAAGGTCCCTTTCAATCTTATGGTTCTATGAAACATCAGCAAAGCTATATAATTTTACTGTCACTTTGATTTGCACTGATTTTGAACTTGGTACTGAATTAAATTTAAATTAATTAAATTAAAATGTTATTTTCAGCAATGCATAAATAGCCATTCTATTTTAAACTTCTTCTATTAACCTATTTGTTTAAAATCAAAGTTTAGAGACTTGTGCCACCTCTCTCACCTCACTTTATCTGTGGCTAAAAATTAAGTCTGAAATCCATTTCCTTCCACAATCCACTAGCTTTCTGATTTTGAATACTTCTGTGGTCTCTAAATACCATGGAGAGAGATTTCTATTTTTGCAGGGTTGGTCATAGTACGAAATGATATATTCACCCATTTGTCTGCATATTCAAACAAAACTAATCTTTTAATTACAATATTAAAGACAAAAAGCTACAAAAGTATATAATTTTTTTTCAATTTTTACAGTGTAAATATGCACTTTTTTTGTTTAAGGTAATAGCAAACATCTATGATATTATCAAGATTCTAAAATTGTACATTTTATTTATGAAACCCTGAATATAATTTTCAATAAGAGCGTAACTGAAATATTTTTTCACCATTTGTTTTATCATCTCTATAAAAACACATCTTTTTTTTTTATAGGTATTCAACCTAATGTGTGAGCAAGTACACTATTCTTGGTGTGGCTCCTGTCCATTTAATATTACTATTCAAATGAAAGCAATGCTTTGGGGTTATTTCATAGCTAAATCTGCATTCTTACACTGAATTCTGATGTCAACACGTGATTGAACAGTATTGTCCTTAATTGGCTGCCTCCACAGTCTCAGGTACAAAATGAGATACTGTAGTTAAAGGAAAATAATTATTATAAATCTACAGATAAAACAGGTTATGCCTATAGCTGAATTGTTTGTGTATGGGAATATTCTTGCAGAATATATTGTCACTTCAGTATACTAGGTGCAAATTGTATAACAACATTCATATTTTGAAAATTAGAAAAATAACTTTCTATTGTCAGACATTTACAAAAATCTGTTCTGGACTGTCTGCATTTACACTGTACATGTCAACATTTGCCAAATTTTGAATGTTCACTGTAAACATATTATTCATTGTGTAGCTAGCTGATGTCTTGAATCCATAATTAAAGTGTAACGTGATAAATTTAGTATGTGCATATCCAGGTTTTCTGCTTAAAGCCTTTATTTGTTTGATTCATCATAACATGCTTGAATAAAGTAATTCAATTCTTCCTCATTTTTAATGTTATTTGAGCCCTTTAATATAATTTGATGAGCTATTACAGTTGTTACAGCTGCTAGTTTTGCCCTCAATATTGATTTCACTTATGACCTCAGTCAAAACAAGATTTAAAGTTGAGATGATGTAAGTGAATAATGTTTATTAAATTTATTCATGTGGCAATTTAAATAAGAATCTGCCTAGCTTAGAATAAGATCCGAATGAAAAATGCATTTGATTTATGGACCTGTCTATTTTAAAGATTTGTATATAGTTTAGGATGATTAAGTAAGAGACAGACCTGGTTATACGAAATATGTAATTTTTGTAATGCAATATTGGAAGCAAGCTGCTAAACAGCAACAGCATAACAATGACCGGTCAAATATTTTTATTAAAAGGGAACTGCATATCTGGAATGCAGAGTCATATGAATACAAAAGCCTCTGTTCTTTTGAATCTCATTTTCTAACAAAGATAGAGTAACATATTTGAAAGAAAGTGAAAATCTCTACTTCCTGACAATGAAACGGTGTATTCATTGTATTTGTCTGCTTGCTTGCTTTCTGAGCCTCAATAATTTATTTCTGATATTTGTTTCATTATAGATATATACAGTAATGGGATTCAACCAGTTCACACCACTTCGGCCAACCCAGTTGTTAAATTGCTGGCTGGCCCCACTCCGTCCCGCCCAGCCACTACTTGTTGGCCTCGCATGCCTTGGCTGGTGCCTTAGAGTCATACCGTGGCATAGCTGCAGCTGCTTTTTGGCTCCCTTGCCTCGACCACATGGCCACGCAGCCCAGCCTGCTTGCCTACCTTTGCTGCAGCTTACAACACGGCGGACTCCTGTTCATCTTGGCGTGCTCCTGAACGCCTGTCTTGGGCTGTTCCTGACTGCTCCAGCAGCAGAACAGGTAAGTACAGCCAGGTGCCCCCTCAGGGAAGCAAGGCTGGGAAGGGTGGTCGACCTGCACCCGCCTGGCTGCCGGCAACAGCCTACCCTGGTCAGATTGCCTCAGTGTGCAGCCAGCCCCATCTATTGCGTTGACTACACAGTCTCTGTGGACCAGCCAGTTTGCCTGCCTTCCCACATGGTGCCCCAGCCTAGCCGCTCCCTTGCCTGCATTCCTGACTCCCCAGCTGTTGCAGTTCGCCTAGGCCCTATCTGGTTCCCTCACTGGCTTGTCTGCTTTCCCGGCCTAGACCCTAGCTTAGACAATGTGGCGCCCATGGCCCAGCTGCTCTCCAGCTTCCTTGCTCCCAATCTAAGCCTTCACCACTCCATAGTTTCTGTTTTACTTACATCTCACCCCTGAGGCGGTTGAATGCATTCCCCCGAGAAATCTACGCTCGCTGCCCACACTTGCCTAGAGAACCCTGCCCTGGCCTCAAACTACACCTTCCCCCTGGGCTGAAGCAATTTACCTGGCCTGCAGCCTGCTATGCTCGGCCGCAGGGCTGCAGGGGGGACAGCATGGGTGGGGGGCAGGGAGGGAGGGACTGGTGCAGGTGGGCTGAAGTGGTTTGGGTAAGGTTCTTACCTTACTGTCCCATCCATAAAGCGCTGCGATGGAGAGAAGTAGCCAGATCAGCCATTGTCTCGGGAGCCACTCCACGTGTTCTCCAGGTCACGTGTTTTCTCTCCACCTCTGCTCTTGCTGGGAAAGCATCTTGTGCAGCACAGCGAAATTTAGCAATTGTGAGCTGCCGCTTTCCTCTAAGTCCCATCCAGAAAGCTCTGTGGCAGAGAGAAACAGCATTCAACTTGGCTGCTTCTCTCTGCCGCAGCACTTTCCAGATGGGACTTAGAGGAAAGCAGCAGCTCACAGCTACTACATTTCGCTGTGTTGTGCAAGACACTTTCCCAGCAAGAGCAGCAGTGGAGAGAAACAGCTGCCAACCCAGAGAGTACGTGGAGCAACTCCCTGAGTGCCCAAGACATGACCAGCACCAACAAGGGCCACAAAAGTGGCCGCAAGATCAAGCAACATCTTGATGGATGGGAGTCCTGAGAGAAAATTCCTCCCCTGAGGGCCGCCCACCCGGAGGCTGCTGCCACCGCTCTGGAGCTCTCCTTCTGCCACCGCTTCTGCCACTCTGGAGCTCACCTTCGGGATAGATCAGTAAGGTCTTGCTTTGCTCCCCGGAAAGTGCTCCATCATGGAGGGCTGTGTGCCCAGACCAGGCGCTTTCTCTTGGGCCTCCTGCCTTGCATGGGGTGGTGGGAGGAGGAAGTGTGTGCCGGGGAAGCCTGACTAAGTTCTTGCAGCCAAAGCCGGGATGTCTGCAAACTTGCATATGTATGAGGTCTTCTGCCTTGAGCAGAAGGTTGAACTATAAGACCTCCAAGGTACCTTCTGATTCTAAAGTCTCCAAAACAAGAGAATTTGCTTAAATTGTGTGTGTGTGTGTGTGTTTCTCAGGAATAATGGAATAACAGAGTAAAAAGGGACTTTGGAGGTCTTCTAGTCCAACCCCCTGCTCAGGCAGGAAAACTGAGGATGCCAAAGTCTGAGTGGAGGGCCTGGGAAAGATGTTAGAATAACACTTAGAAGGGACTTTGGGGGGGACCCTATACCATTTCAGAGAAATGGCTGTTCAGTCTTTTCTTAAAAACTTCCGGTGATCAAGCATCCAGAATGTCTGGGGACAAGTAGTTCCACTAGTTAATTGTTCTCACTGTTTTAGGTTGCTTCTCTCTTTGTTCAGTTTCCATCTATTGCTTCTTTTTTTGCCTTGTGCTTCTTTGGAAAATATATTGCCCACCCTTCTTTGTAGCAGCCCCTCAAAAGCCTGTTTTTTGACCTGTGTATCACACTCTTGGGGAAAGCAGGTGAGCCATTTTCTCCTTTCAGTGGTCCATGAAAGTACTTCTATAGTATGTAGAGGCAGATAATAAAGTCAAAAAAAGGTGAACAACATTTTTACAGAACTATAGATACATTGAGCCCAGGTGTGACAAGGAGGGGAAGGGGCTGGGTGAGACGCCCCTCGACGTGAGTGATGTCGAGTTGGCCATGCCCACCCAGTCACATGACCACCAAGCCATGCCCACCAAGCCATGCCCACAGAACGGGTTGTTAAAAAATTTGAATCCTACCACTGGATATATACGATACAGGTATTCATTGCAAGGCCGTGTGCCCTAGATCAAAATTTCTGGCTTCCGGTTTGGTCTCCGTCGCTGTCAGACGGTCCCTTGGGACCGCCAGCCCCGTCGCCCATAAAGAGCCGCCTTCACAGCTGAAAGGTGGCTCGAAAAACTCCATTTCCATAAGGAAATGTGAGATAGAGCAGGCGAGGGCAGGTAGAGCCCTCTGCGAAGTCCCCAGAGTTTTTTACTCTTGGGGACGAAGCAGGATGAGGCTCCCTATTTCCTTCGCCGCTGCTCCGGGCTTCAGGAGACCTCTGCCTTTTGCAGAGCTAGGCGACGTGACCAAGCCTTTTAATGAAAATCAACAGATGGTTTAATTAAAGAGGACAAGATTTGGACTTGGGACCCTAAATCGCAAGTAGTTTTAACGATTTTACAAGCGTTTTTAAGTGAAGGAAAAAAAAGTTTAAAATGGCGACTGCTGAGGCTTGAGAAGAAGAAGAAAGCCGAAAGCAAAAGTCCTTCCGTAACAAGCTACAAAGTAGCGGAATAAACAGTGCTGGCTAGAATCTAGAAGAAAAATATCTATTTTAAGTTTCTTTTTTCTTGGAGATTTGTACTTGATCTTGTTTGGGGAGAAGTTTTCTTTCTTTAAAAAGAGTTTGTTTGTGTGGCAGGATGGCGTTAAAACTAATAAAGCCTGACAAACAAGCAGCGGGGGGGGGGTGTTCCCCCATTCAGAATTATGTGAACAAGTTTCGAGCTCACAGACTCAGAAGAATGGCTTTAATTTAAAAGAATTTGTCCTGGAGGAAATGGCAAGATATCACGAGACTGTGAACCAGAAACTTGAAAAATTTAGGCAGGAAATTAAAGAATTGATACAACTAAAGTATGATAATTTGCAACGAAAGATTGTAACAGTGACTAATGCTTTTTCAGAAATAGTTATAAAGATGGATACAAATATCAAGTTATTAGAGTCTAAAATGGAGGAAGTTGATAATAAGATTTATAATTTGGACAATAAAATACAAAGAATTGAAAATGATTTGATAAATATTCAAGACAATAGTTTAGAAGTAAAGTCTAAAAAGGAAGCTGGTCACAAGACTTACAATGCAGAAGATATAAAGCAAGGGATTGAAAAAGAAATTACAATGATGCAATACAGGCTCACAGAATTTGCGGTCAGAATGAGAAGGTTACAGGAAAATAATAGAGATGATTTAAGAAAAATATCTGCTCAAGTTCTGGCCGGGATTTTAAAGGTTCACCCTGAGGAGGTATCTTGTAAGATTGACAAGGCCTATAGAATAAATTCTTGGATTGCAAAGCAAAGGCAATTGCCTAGAGATGCTTTACAGATAAAGAAATAAGAAATGATATTGTGCAGAAATCCTTTAATTCTACTCTACAATTGTATGGAAGAAAGATCTGGATATATAAAGAGTTGCCGCCCAAGATGTTAAAAGATAGAAAGAAATTTGGATTTTTGGTGGCTGAGCTAAAGAAACAAAACATCTCATTCAGGTGGGACATTCCAGTTGGCATAATATTGAGGTATCAAGGAGAAAGATATCAACTAAATACTGTTGAAAAAGCGGAAGAATTTTACTACAAGGTTCTTAAAAAGCAAAATCAACCAGAGATAGAAATTCAGGATAAGCAGAAGGAGGTGGAAGTAATGGAAAAACAACAAGTTACAGAGGTTTTTGTAGATGAGCCGCTTCTGGATTCTCCTTCAGAGGTCTCAGCTGGACTATTTATAAATACAAGAGAGGCGGCTCTGGATTCTAATGTGATGACTTATTAAGTTACAGACCAGCAATATACAACTCATAGAACCAGAATGGAGATTTAAGCCACAAAAGCAAAACCAACAAAATCAAGTTATAGATCAGCATGAAAACCAAACAGTTGATATACAATTTATAGAAAGGAAATCAGGATGGAGATCTAACCCACAAAAAGTCAAGAAAAGAAGAAGCAGGTCTCACAAAAACAAAAACTTTTAAACTAAACAACAGTGTAATGCCAGATATCTAAGAGATGATTGAATATATGAAAATGTAGCTGAGGCAAAGTATTGGTTTATATTATCTTGAGGAGAGTGACAGACCTCTGCAGTGCTGTACTTTTGGGATGTGAAAAGGGCCTTAAACTGAATGGATTGGAACTATCTTTTTTTGGATTCTTTGACAAATGCGCTACGTTTATGCTGAGCTACAAGGCAAGAGAGTTATGGGATTGGGGCACGCAGATGATCTGATTGTTACCCTATTACGGTGGTTGGAATTAATAATTTAGATGAAAGACACTACTATAGATACTATATGGAATACAAATATAAAGTCACTCGGGTGGTTGTTTGGTTTTTTTTTAGAAGATATTTGCTATTGATGGGGGCAGATGGTAATTGAAGATACTGAACATACTGTTGGAATTAGGATGTGATGTTACCCTAACATGGGTGATGGAGTTAACAATCCAGCTGAAAGACATTACAGAAGATATCATATGGATTACAAGCTTAAAGTCATTTTAAGAGGATTTTATTTACATAAGGGAATACTTTTTAGTGGTGTGGGCAGAAGAATAAAGATATTAAGAATTATTAAGTATGGTAGTCCTGTAGGAAAGTGGGTGGAGATAGGTTAGCTTATTGATTGTTTAGTTTAAAAAAAGGGATATTATGTTTAGATATGAATATATGTAAAAGATTTGAGTTAAGAGATATATCTATGGGGGTGGAGGAAATGGGCAGACTATGAGTTGAATCAATGTTAAATTAGGAATTATTATATAGTCTTATAGTGGAAGGTTGCTTTGAAATGTTATATTAATATACATAAAAGATTTGATTTAAGAGATATATGTATGGGGGGGAGAAAAGGGTAGATTATGAGCAGAAATTGCTAAACTGGGAGGTATAACAATATTATTATGCTAAATTAGGAGTTATTATATAATGTTATAGTAGAATGTTATTTTGAAATGTATAGTATAAGGGGGATATAATAATATTATTAGAAAGCAAGGGTCAGCAAGGGGGATGGAGCAAGGGAATGGTAAAGTATTATATAATCTGTTATGAATTTGGGTTTTATTTTGAAGAAGCCACAGGGGGAGGGGAGGGGGAGGGGGTTAGGGAGGAGGGGGGGAAAAGCGGGGGGGAAATTTGTATTTGAAAAACTTTTTCAATAAAAAAAAAATTCTGATGCAATGAATTTCCAGAAATATTGTGAGAAAGAAACATAAGAGTCAATTACTGTAAATTTTTATTATTGTTTCCTAAATTGGTTTGTTTATATTTTTTTGAACATGTATTACTTTGGGAATAAAATAGATCCATTTTATTCTTATCCATCCTGCCTTTGAATTTTTTGACCTTTGGAGGGACCCATTTTGCCATTTTAAGGGAGGGGAATTTTAAAAATTATTTGTGTGTGTGTGTGTGTGTGTGTGTGTGTGGGTGGGTGGGTGGGTGGGTGTGTATGGTCAGCCTTACCAGGTAGACCAGACAGGAAACAAGCAAATGAGCTGTTCTACT